TCTACAGAGCAGTTCAGATTTCTAAGGGCACTTTCAAGCTCAAAAGAAGGCCTTAATTCTGTCTCTATTTTTTTGTTTGTTTGGTTTTTTTAACCTGATACTTGCTGTGATTCTCTTACTGGGTCTCCCTTTGAGCCCCAAAAAGACATGCTCAAGAGTTTGTTACAGTTTGTTTCAGTCCCAGGGAGGAGCTTAATGCATTCTTTCATGGTCTTCACCTTCCAACATGGAAACAAAAAGCTGATTTGGTCCTTCATCACTTCTTTGTGATCCCTTCGTCTGCTTGCTGGCTCAAAAGGTTGTGCTTCCTTCTCTCTGCCAGTTGCCTGGGATCAAGCAAGAGATGAAAGATGAGGAGGGCATTCAGACTTGAATCAAATATTACCTCAAGACCAGAAGAATGACTATCTTTGCATCCAGTATGTGGACTTCAAGGAGGTTTCCTCTCCTGTAAGCAGATGAGTATAATGTACTCTTTTTAATTGAAGCAACATCAACTTTGGCCTTTATCATAGCAGTATCTCAAGATTCTTTTAAGAGATCTTTAGACACTAGGAGAGGATATTTTTTTCTTTCCATTTTGTTTTCTTTTTTTACTCCTGCCCTCCCCCCAGCCTAGTTATCAATATGTCCACCCCTTTCAATGAAGTATTAGATTCATAGGAATTTGTAGGAGTGAGTGCATGGAAGAAGGTGAGTGAGGTCTATAAATGAATTTTACATTTATTTTGAAAGAGGTCTTTGAATGCTGTATTTTAGATATTCCAGTGACCTTAGTTTGTGTATATGGTTCTTGCTTTATTTTTTCACATTTTCTATGTTGAAAATGCCAGCAGTTTAAGAGGAACTTGGTTTAGAAGAGGTGCTCTGATCAGTAAAAATGTGGCATAACTGCCAGTTCTACTAATGCCTCATTGATTCTTTTACTCATGTTTGGACCTCGTTTAGGAAATGTATATCCAGTCAACCTTAAGTCATCTGTTGTAGTTTATCTGAATGGTACCAGGAGAAATTTTCAGAGGCAGAAGGATTTTTGAACTGGCTACAATCTGGTTCATTAGGCAGCATTCAAACTAGTGTTCAGCCAGCCATCTCCTAAGTCTAACTTGCATTCCAAAGCAGTTCATCTGTTTTTGTGCTTAAGGTGATAAACAGATAAACATGAAAGATTTTGCATGGAATCAGGCTGCTCCAGCATGGCAGATGCTGAGACAGAGCCAGTGAGCCCAGCCAGATCCTGCTGGATTCCTGCAGTGTTCCTCTGAAATCCGTGTGCTGTGCTTTACCATTCCTCCTGTCCACCACAGGCACTTAAGCCTGACACTGTGCATTATCTGTCCCCTAACACAGCACACTGGGAAGCTCTTTGCTTACATCTTCACAGGTATGCGTGGATCCAGCTCAGCTAGACCCCAAGTTTAGCCATGATCTGCATTTATATCACCCCCCCATCCCTTACTTGTTTTTTTTCCCTTCTGCCTATCTTCTGTGGGGGAGCTTCCAGTTGCAACTACAGGCTATTTTGCTCTAAGATTCTGGCAATTCAATTAAGTGTTTTTAGGTTTAATCCTATATTCTTGCTATTTTGCTGGTTAGGAGAGAAGAAACTAATTCTTGTGTTTGTGTTCTTAGCAATTAGGAGGCCAAAGAAGACTTAAAAATCATTCAGAAATGAAGAAACAAGGAATTTATTAACTCACTGAATCTTGCAAGTATTCACTTGATGCTTATTGGTCAGGCAGGTATAACAGTCCTATTGTTGATACAGATTGGCATCAATTTCCATTGATCTTACCTGTGCATCAGTTTCAATACAGTGTTGAAAAGTTATATTAGTAATTCAGGTGAATTAGTGATAGTATTCTATCCTTTTCAAACATGAGTGCATGAACAGGTCTTGTTGGTAGGGCAGACAGAGAACTAGAAAGCTCTGTTTGGCAGCAACCTAATAAGGATTTTTTTCTTTCCTAACAACATCAGCATTTGATCAAATCTAAGAAGTAGACACAGGCTGTATTTCTCCTTCTGCATTAACTGTGCTGTTTGTTAGCACTTCAGGCTTTCTGTTCAATCAGGATAGAGGAGGCTGAGGTTTTTTGAAAAGCAAATTTAGAATGAGGTTTTAATGTTTGAGGATTGCTCTTACTGCGTGCAAAGTACTATTTCTGATTGAGAAAAACTGATTGTTTAAGGGTCTGCATGACATACAACTCTCACTAGATATTGGCACTGAAAATATTTTTGGGTTGAAAAGGAAGTTCAAACTACATAATGTACAGTATATGATGTATTTTTATGATACTGTTTAACCATTTAGCAGCTTTATGCTTTGGATTTGAACATGGATGTTAGCAATGAAGTTCTCTTTTAGACTGATCTTTTTCTAGGTGTTTTCAGAGATCATGCATCTGTCTTTTTCTGTTTATAAAACTTGCATTATTGGTCTGTAATGTGGGTAGCATATATTTTGGTAAAAAAAACCCAGTATATTTTATATACTTTTGTGGTTTGATTCTTACTGTAATGATGCCTTCATATCTACACATTGTTGAAAGAGGTATTCCTGAGACTGCCTGAGGAATTTTTGCCTTGCAAAAGCATCTTCCTGTGAGGATGCAGAACTCTAATGGCATAAGAGCTTTTCTCTTTTTTCGATATCTATCAGTGCAGCACTAATTGTAGCGGACACACAGCATTACTGGTTATTGATACTACTGTCAGCGTGCTAACATAGAATTTGAACTCTGTAACTAGATCTTCCCTTTAAAGCAGAAAAATCCTCCTTTTTGTCCTCCAGTGCCAAATTTTTCAACCTAGGTAGGGAATTGTCTTCAAACAAAAGTGTAGACATATCTCCTGAGACTGTGGCAAACCTCAAGGCCTGGTTTTCTCATGTACTCTAGAACTGCATAAACTGCCACCGCTACCAAAAGTGATAGTCCCACATAGTCCTTGTGTTCAAATAATACTTGTGTTAGTTCATGGTTTTGTGGGATTACAGTGAAACAGATGAGGAAGACTGGACTTCCCCCCCCCCCATTTAGCAAATTTTATCAAGATAAGAACTTTCCTCCTTGTGCCTATTGGGAATAGCAGATCCAGTGAGGACCTGTTATTCACTACAAAGCAGCATACTTAGTGGGATATGCATTTTTCATGTTATAGCAAAGAATTTCTGCCTGACCTTGTGCAGGAGAATTCATTGGCAGACACGTACACAGTGTCCCTCAAATGTCAACTTAAGACAGTATTTCACATTAAATAAAATTTTGTAATAATCAAGTTCACCTTAAAATAATACTTTGACAAAAACCTCTTCTTTCCCTTTTACCTCTTCTTTTGTGGTACTTTTAATTATCTTTGTTTCCCTACCTGTACTTTCTTCTTTTTTTCAAGGAATATTTCCATCAGAAGTATAAACTTTTCGAACTATTAAGGTGTTATTTCTTCAAAGTGCATTTTGCTTAAAGTTGTCACAGGATAGTTTTGCAAGGTGTTCTTGGGAGAGGTTGAGTCTGCATAAAGAAGCCTGAGTGGGATCAAAGGCAGTTACTTCACAGTGAAGTTTAGAAACTGTTAAGATTTTTTAAAGTTTTTCGTTTTTCATTCTTTTTGCTTGTCATTTGGTATTACAGGTAGAAATAATTAATCTTCATATGTAAATAGCAAGTAGTGCTATTAATTACTCTTTTCTACATTTTCTTTTTTTTTGTGGAAGATTAGTGTGGTGGCATAGACAGGAAGAATTGAAGGAAGTTTATTAGGTTATAATTCAGATTCTGTACTGAAGAGCACTGATCATCGTAGCACAAACACTGTCCCTGTGTAGGTAGGTAGAGGCATATTACATATCTCTATATCTTAACTGCTGCACTTCATCCAGGCCCCAGCCTTGTCTGAAACAGGGACTCCAGGGGCATGGCTGTGTTGAAATCTGGAGCTTCTCTTTCAGAAGTTCACTCTTGATTTCAGGTGACAGAGTGCTCTTCGGTTTGTAGTGTGATACATACAATTTCAAAAACCATTCTTCCTTCTGGTAGGTGCAGGTTGAGCTTGTTTTATGTGCTATCATAATACTTACTCTTAGGCTTCATGTTCTGTTTACACTTCCTTTATACTGAAAGCACAAGCTGAAATATTTCTGTTGTTTAAGAAAGGCTGTGCCTTATTTTATGGTAGCCCAGTAGCAGTAGTAGTTAGTAGTTAGTGCTGTTACCTGTGGGAGCAAGCACCAAAGCCATTAGGTGTTGTGAGCTGCTGAGGATGAAAATCAACTTCAAGGAAACATCATTTCTGTCCTTAAACTGCATCTAATGTTGCTTCTGCCTTTCTGCTGGAGTATGTGGCAGTGCTGAAAGTTCCTTGAACCCTGCTCTCAGATCACTGGTCATGACGTAGAATAAGGATGGATTTCTTGGACTTGTATTTTCTGTTCTGGGTGTAGGTGTTTGTCTATTGAATGATGCCAGAAGAGGAGAATTACTGCTGTATGGGCTTCTGTACATTCATAATACCACAGACAAATGACTTCTTTCATCCCCTCATGTCCTTAAGTTCCTTTCAAAGTTAAGTGTGTCCAAAATGTAATAAATTAAGAGGATTTGATATCTGTGGATTTAAATGTTTGTTTCTATCAATATTTGCTATGTTTGTGCATGTGTGTGTATATTTTTCTTTTTTGATTTGCAGAGATTTATCATTAAGTATTCTGTTTCTGTAGATTGAAAGTAGCTTTAATCTGGCATTGGTGGATGGTGACAAAAATACTTTAGTTTTATTGACTTGGATGTTCAATACAAAATTTATACTGTTACTGCTTGTCTTCTACTTTTTGGGTCAGGGAGAGTAGAAAACAATTCCTTACCATTTTTTTAGTGATTTTAAAAGAGTGTTATTTATTTGTATCATAATATACTAGATGTAGCATTCATAGTTTAACCAGAAGGGATTTATTGCTTATAATGTGCTGCAGTATATACATATTGTTTTATCTCTTGCAGATCTAGAAATGGCAATAGCATACTGGAATTTAGTCTTGTCAGGAAGGTTTAAATTTTTAGATCTTTGGAATAAATTTTTGTTGGTAAGTATGTACTTTATTACTTACTGCCTATTTTATTCCACAGTATTCTGGCTTTTGTTGGCTGTGTGCTTCCAATAAGAAGATAGGATATCTCTATGCTTCCTTCAGACTTTATCCTTTTTGAGAACTGATATAAAATAGTCTGAAAGCAAGCCAAATTAAATCTTCTTTATGATTTTCTAATTTAGAAGAATGCAAAAGAATGCAGCAAAGTGGTAGAGTGTTCTGCTTGCTTAATCCTGCATCCTCTTGCTTAGGAAGGTTCCTGCATGAAAGGAAGCCATTATTGTAGATGGAACTGGGGCTGCAGATTCTCAAGACAGCTGTGATTATTGTCAGCCATGAATTTTACCATGCTCTGCCCTTTTTAGTACTAATGCAGAAACTTGGTCTTCTTAAATCAGTCATACCAGAATTTAATATTGAGACTGTTTTCAACAAAATTTCTTGATTTTTTTTTTTATTAAATTTTTAGCCAATAGTTGTGAACTGATCTTGACAGTTTCGTTATTACTGGTGCAATTCTGTGGGCAGTGGAGTAAAGATGCATAAATTAAACCTTATAAATTCAAAAATATTATTGTAAAAGACCCAATTCACTTATCCATGTTTCTGCATTTGCATGTCTATATAATTACAAAAAATGAAGTTACATAATAATATTTCATCTTGATTTTCTTCTTCATTTTATCTTTTTATCTGTAGTTTAGGAAAAATAAAAAGTTTTTTCTGCATTTTTGTCCCCCACTGCTTAATAGGGAGGGTGTAGACTTTTTGAAATCTTTTTCTGTAGTAGCTTCTTTCTAAATTTTTTGGCAGTATATTTATTTGAATCACTGAAAAATGTACCAGTTTTATCAAGAGGGCTTCTGAAAACATTTCATGTTTTAACTGCCTTAATACACTTTAAAACATCCAAATTCAGATCTGTAGATGTAACTGAAGAAGAATCTGCAAATTACGACCTGGTATTAAAATGTGTTAGTTAAGAAGAAATATTTAACCTGAATGTTTAGTTGAGAAGAAATACTTAAATTAAAATATTTCAACCCAAAAAAGAAGCAAGCTGGAACTCTGAAAGAGTTGGGGGTTTTTTTTGGTTATTAGTTTTTTAAGATAAGGTGAAGAAATATTTGCAATAGGTGTATTTCTGTATATCAATGTATGTATATGTATGTCAATATAAAATACTGCTGTGGAATTTGAAAGTAGTTTGGACTGAAAAGTACTGTTATTCCTCCATACAGGAACATCATAAAAGATCAATTCCAAAAGATACTTGGAATCTTTTGTTAGATTTTGGGAATATGATTGCTGATGATATGTCCAACTATGATGAAGAAGGTAAGCAGTACCTGAATCTCTTCCAAAATTGGTACAGCAGAATTAAAATACTGCTTTAAATGAAGAAGAGAATATGTTGTTACCTTGTGTCCTAATTTGTTTACCCTTAAATTTTCATCTGCCAGTACAGTGTCACACTTATTGCCAGAATAGTAGTGATAAGAAGGTTAACTGGTTTGCTGTAGTTTGAAAATGAAGATACAGTCACACCATGATATAGAGCACATTATTTGAATGTGTTACGCTACAGCCCTCTGTGTGAAACAAAGTTTTGTACAAAATTTTGGCTATCCTAAATGCAGTTTACTCTCCATTACTAATTCTGGTTTGGAATGTGTGCAGAAATAAGTCCTAAGATATGAATGGCTATAATAAGAATGCAGTGGTTTTGCTATCAACTAATGTTTATATTTGTAGTATGGAGTTCTGTGGTTTAAATACATTTTGATTGTCTTATGAACTATTGATGCAAGAGATTCAAATGTGGAATTTATTAGTTAGGTGTTTTTTTCAAGTGTTTTATCATGCTGTGCCTGTTAAAGCTAGACTAGGTCAAAAATGTCAGGATGAGCTTCTAATCCTTTGTACTTTTATACCAGTTTATTGCTGATAATGATAGGTTAATTTTTCAATTCCTTGATTTCTCTGTAGGAGCGTGGCCTGTTCTAATAGATGATTTTGTGGAATATGCACGACCAGTAGTCACAGGAGGAAAACATAAAACGTCCTAACCCCAGATTTGTCGGTACAGACTTAAATGAACTGCACTGGGTAATGAAGATTTATTAGCTGATTACTGCACCTTGGTGCTGGTTTCAGGGGTCGTGATGATGTTCTGCAGACAAAACTGAAATTCCTCCTTTCTGCCTAATGAAAATGATGACTGATGTTTGGACACTTCAAGAACAAACTCAGAAGATTCAAGCTGTTTGTAGGCTATTGGCTTCAATTATTGTACTGGTTGTATCATATAGGATGTAGATTTTGCATGATTTTATACTTTGGAGAAGTTTAACTAGAGGCCATTTTATTAAAGTTTTGACAGCACAGCATGCCATTCAGTTCATAATCCAAAGTGAACACCAGCAGTTACATAAATAAAAATGTATTATATTGTACTTATATTTAAAGCAGTATTTGTGGTATATAAATTAAATCCATAAATAAAACTTATGCAGTATGTTGTATTTTTATAAAAGCTAGTTCTGTGGATCTGTCTTAATACAGAATTGTAAAAAAACCCCAAGCAAATGAAAGTATGTTTTATTTGTTTTAACCTTATTGCCAAAATTCTAAATTTGTATTTTCACATCCTAGATGTGTACAGTGATTACATCCAACCTTTTGCTTTCTTCCAATTAATTTGACTTCCTCATTTTTCTTCTTGAAGTGCTTGGACATGTAACAGTAGCATTGCTGAGAACAGGCTGCTGCTCTATGCTGTGTTGCAACTCCAGCTTTTTTTAATAGCCATTTTAAAGTAGACATTAAGCAACCAAAGATGCTTTTATAATTCATGTTTAATGATCATAATTCAGTTAGTCTCCTATTATGTGTTTTATTTCTTTTTAATAAGGAATCGGTGGAATATGGATTTTTTTTGTAGCTTGAAACATATCATGAATTCTAGTTAAATGCAACATAGTTGCAAATTCATTTCCTGGCACTTCTCTTGGAAAATAGATGTGAATAAGCCCAAAGACTTCAAAGAAGTTGGCTTCCATGGTAGAAAAATAGTTAGGGGTAAGGAGACTTTATATTAATGATTGTAAGTATTCATGCCTGTGGATGTGCATTCAATTGTATTTATGTAAGGGGAGGGAAAAAAGTAAATTAATGCAGTTTCAGTGATCTCAAGGCTGGTGGAGCTGGACCAGTTTTCACCAAATCTGAATTTGTTGAGTCATTTGTTTCTCCCCTTTTGCCAGCCACTGACTATGAAGGGCACAGAGGTGTCAGTCTTCTGTTTCTCATCAGTGTCTTCCAATGTCTAAGCACAAGAAAGTTTTACCAGAGACTATTCAGTGCGTCTTCGCACAGGGCTCTTGCAAATGCTACCTCATCAAAATGAGTTTGTCATAGCCACTGTAAAAGTTTGTTAAAATGAAGAGTTGCTAAAGAGTATGTACAGCTATAATCATAATATATTTTCTGTATTTAAGGCTGAATAGATGCAAGAATTTTGGAGAAAATAGTGCATTAAGTTATATAAATTATATGTTTGGGTCATTGAAGTGTTGCATGACAGCAGACTATTTTATTTTGTAGTTGCCAGAGTATAAAAGCTTAATATTCTCTTAAACTCTAATATTTAGAGTTTCATACAAGCAGTCAGCTTTCATTATGTCAACACAACCTGCAAGGACAAGTGTACCTGCTGCATATAGAGACTGCCTTCATTCTTCTACTCGATAAAATTTCAGTTGTGAATGACGTTTAAAAAGCAGGATGAGAGAAAATTTGAACAAATTAGTGATTTTTCTCTTAGTAAGAGCCTAGCAAGCAAGTTAAAATGCCCTATGCGTGATTTGTTATGAATATTTGTCTTCTTTTTGTGTCAGCCCTGGCCAACCAGCCACCAGGTGTCAGCGTCTGAGACCGCTGCTGCCTGGCATTCCTGTGCAGAATTACCCGCTGAGGTTATGCCAAATTACCAAATGCATCTTTTTAGAAGGGCATTTGTGTACATAACTCCAAGTATTCTACAGAAGTCAGCAGAGAGCTAGAAGCAGTTACGCTGTTTTAGCTGCATTTGGTTTATCTACACCTCCTCCCCAAAACAAACTGTTTCTATATCTGTCCCGCAGGCTTTGCAGAATGTGTACCACCTTACAGCATCAAGTGCATTTATCTAGCCAGAAGCAGTGGAATGTTTATTACTCACACAATTGCCACTTAAAATATATAGATAAAATATAACTGACCAGAAGTAGCTTAATCTATTGGTATGTGATGTAACTGAAGATTCATAGCAGTAGAGCTTGTGAAACATTTGCTTATGGTGAGAGCGCCATCAAATCATTCTGATGAACCTTCTACCTTTTAAAATAAATAGAGCATAAAAAATGCACATGGGTTGAGGGTTTTTTTCCTTGTTAATCTGAGCAAGAAGGAAGGTGCTTAGCCCAGGATTCAGTTCATATATGTATATGTGTACACACACTTTTAAACCTCATTCCCCAGGGGGGTCCTTCATGGGTGACAGCTTCCAGCAGAGGAAGACTGGGAAAAATACTCCAAAGATAGTAACTGATCCTTGTCAACCAGCTTCTGAGGTTTGCTATGCTTTTCCTTTTTCTTTTGTTCTTCCTGGTCTTCTACCCATTTTAAACCACATGTGATTTTTACATTCCCATATATAATAGCATGAAGTAACACCTTCACACTTAAGCATATATAAAATAATAATAAAATAATTAAAAAAGCAAACTGCTTTCACCTTACAAGTTTCTTACATATTTTAATCATTTGCTGCTGTCTACAGTTCCACTTTACAGGGTACTCTGACTTCCATTTTAAGTAAGCTGATACAGTGGTAACACCTAGGCTGGTCAATTTATAATCCTAAATGGTACGGATGTCTTCAAGTTGTTCAGTGCATACAGTATTACTTCACAGATATGCTGTATGTATTTTTAAACTTGGTGCCAAGTTGTTTGGTTTGAAACTGAGCCATAGGATTTGTACTTGCCAATTCTAAATTTAAATGTAATTTATCATGTGTGTCATGCCAAGGAGAGCAAACCTGCAGGCATCTGCTCATTCAATGCACCTGGGAGATTTGCTGCTGAGTAAGCCGTACATGTGTGTATATTTTTTGGCAGTGGAAAAAGGAATAAATGGACTGTCAAAGGATTGAAGTCAGTCACTTGAGATGTCTGTATGGTTCTTGTCAGTTTTTTGCTTGGTCTAGTGGGAGGTTTTTTGTTGTTTTCTGGTTCATTTATTAGGTTCTTGTGTTACTACTTCATCAGCCAGAAGAGGGTAAGGATGTAACTCATTAATTTTTAAATGGTCTTAATAAATATTTGGTTTGATTACCCTTAATCTTTTAGGAGGCTCAAAATGTGTAGCTGCAGTACTGTATTCACTGCATGTATCTGCTGGTCACCAGACTCTCCACAATTTGTGTCATTAGTTTGTACTGGCAATTGGAGCTGTGATTGCAGAAAAGTGTTGCTCAGTCCTGGCTCTGAGCTCTGTAGGAGAAGTAGCACTCTCAGAAATCTGTGCAAAGACCTTCAGAGGTTTGCATTCACCTATCGTTACAATGCCTAAAGAGGCAACCTGGAACAGGGGCTAGACAGTATGAAAGGAATAAGCTAGGTCTTTAGTAAAAAGTCCCTCAAAAGATATACCTTGGGCATTACAAGATCCTGGCCAAGACTACACCCAAATTTTTGTCTAACTGAACTGAAAGGAGAACTTGGTAGCAACACTTTATATGAAGTTCAGAGTTACATACTAATGCAGTACAGAATCTGGAGAATATGAGAGCTAAAACTTAAGGCATCAGTTAATCCTCTTCTGAAAGTTGAAGTCAAAATAAGTAAGTTGTCCTCTATTTTCACCCAGCTGCCATCCTTCTCCAGTGCTTTCACCAACCACAGGCTGCTTTGGTGTTGCACAAGTCTTGTCTTCCTTCTCCTATGACAGTGAAGCTGCAGACATTGATACTTGAACCTTTTTTTTCTTCAAAGTATTGGCACCAGTAACTTCCCTCAGCTGATGCCAACCAGCATCTAGCTCAAAAGGCACAGCCCTTCTGAAAAAGTGTAATGTTTTTACAACCATAAACCTGTTCAGTAAAACATGTTTTCTGATCTTTTCATTATCTGCAGTGTGCTGAGTACAACTAGATGACACACCTCTAAAATTAAATATTTTGTTCTAAACTGTTGACAGAGGGATCTGCAACTGCAGCTGCCCCTACAGCCACATGCAGAAAATACTGTATTTCAGACAAGTGGGTGCAACATTCACCTCTTAATGAGAAGGGCTGGGGAAGTTTAGGGGCATTCACATTTTGATTGAGTACTGGGATACTTCCTTTCGTTGGTGTATATACTTGATCAATTCCCATGGGGTTTTTTTTGTGCCTCCTTTTCCAAGCAGTGAGCTACTCTTTTGGCAAGCCCTATAGGTTTCATGTCATGACCTCAGCTTTCTGTCAAGACAATAAAGAAGGAGTCCATCCTGTGGTGTTCTTCCTTTAAGGCAGTGGTGTAAAGCTGTATGGAAATAATTCATCTCCATTGTTAAAGAATTGAGTAAAACCAGTGTGTTTTTTTCCTGGATCTCAATGAATGTGTTTTAAAAGAATGATCCTGATGTTCGAGTACAATCCTTCACTTCAAGAATTGTAAAAATGCAGCTCTGACAGAAATCTGGCACCCATTTGGTTTCAACCTTACTTTTCCAGGATATGACTCTATGATATGGGTGAACCTGGAATCAAGAGCATTTCCCTGCTGAGCGTCTTCAAATGGCAAAGGATGACTCACTCACTCATGGGGGAAGCATTTGGGGTGTAATCCTCTTTTAACCTAAAAAGGGCTCGTGTGGACACCACGTCAGTCCAGCCCCATTTGCCAGTTCCTTGACTGGGAGCAGAGCTCAGCACCTGTAGTGTGCACAGGCTCTGTCCTGGGCCTGGAGCCCATCCACGCACATCCCTCTGCTGGAGGAGGGCAGGAGCAGCCTGCCAGAGGCTTCTTTCATGTTCTCACCTCGGGTTTCAAAGGCAGTTGAGCTGAAACAACAGTGTGTTGCCACCAACACAGACAAGCCTTTTCTCTGTCCTGCCTTCCCATTCCTTTTTTCTATGGACTCCCCCCATCTGAAAGCCATTGTACATTAATGAAAAGACACCAAAGATGCATTTTAATATGATTTACCAAATAGTTTTGCCAGCTCTGCTCAGGTTTGTTTTGGGCTTTTTCTTCCTATTGTGAATAGTCACCCATCTTCAAGGAATTACTGTATTTTATCTCTGTTTAAGATGTGTAGGTATGATATTTTACAAACAATTGTCTCCTTTGTGAGAAGTAGTGGTAGTTTAGTGTGTCTAGCCTACCTCTGCCCAGGAAGCTCACAGTAGCTGGAAGTACCACATGAAAAGGAGATCATATGTAATTAAAAAAGTAAATAAAAATGTCTTCACGGCATGTTCTGTTTTACAGAGTTGAAAAATAGAACTTCTCTGAAATTTTCTCTGTTTTTTTATTAAAGCCTTGTTCCTAATTTGGGCTGTGTTCTGAGCAGCTGAGTGTGTTTCAACAGAGGGAAGCCTATGGGAGGCAAAAGGGCAGTTCAACTGCCGGCCACATTAAGAAGGAAAAGATAAATGGAAAACTAAGAATAGCTTTGCCCATTTTCAGGGAGTAACCTTCCATCTGATGAGGCCCTTAGTAGCTCACCACAGTGCCTCAGCAGGTGATTCCTCCTGTCCTTGCTTTGCAAGTTCAAATTCCCACGTGCCTGCCAACCGTGATGCTATGCAGGAATAGAGAACAGGTGTGTGCCACAGAGGGGTGGAAGGACCTGTAAGAGAGATATCAACGTCAGTGCTTCTGCCTGGTGTGTTCTGTAAGCTGTCCTGGCCTTGGTTTTCCATTTTTAGTGTTTGTTTTCAGACACGTGGAACGTGAGGTAAGAGGCAGAGCAGGGGTGACTCTAAGATTACCTCAGTATTGCGTAAATGCCCTGCTGGTGGGAGATGATGCTTGCTCCCCCTGCCCCACATAGGGGCTTGTGGCAAGCCAGTCCTAGAGCAGGCTGGCTATGGCCCACTGATACTTGTCCCTGTATATCTTCTGGTCCCTAGGGCATAATTGCCCTCCTTTTCTCTTTTTTTTTTTTTTTTTTGGCTTTTTCAGTGTGGAGCTGTTACTTTCTAGCAATGAAAACACACTTTCAGTGTCCTTTCCAGCATATCTGTTGACCAATCCCAGTCTTTAAAACTGTGTACTAACAGAAGCTACTTTCACCATTTGGACACTTTATTTCTTCTAATGTAGAACAGGTTTGGCAATGCTTCTGTGTGTCCTGAAAATCCATTAAGTACAGAGGTATTTCTACACAGGTCAATAACTAAGACCATGATTAACTTAATGCTCCTTAGCTTGTTGGTTTGGGTGCTAGGATGATGCATCCTTTACATTGCTGGTCTTTTCCATCTGAATAGAAGTCAGTATTGCCCCTGAAAAAGATCAAAAAACAAAGACCTTTCCCCTGTTTATCAGTTATCAAAATTACAGTCAGGTCAATCAATGTTTACCTCTCCACATTTATATTTACATTTCTATTTCTGTCTGTAAAGTAGTAGTAATTTGTGAGCCGTTAGGATTTTATTAGACTCACAGGATGCCATTTCAGTGCATCTTTCAAAATAGTTTCCTTCCAGAGTCCAAGTGTAGACTGACATCAGCTTTAGGAAAAAGTTACTATTTGCCAGGGAGTGCGAGGCATGGAATTGAAGTTGGTGTTTTGCTCAGTGGGTGCAATAAATTAGCAGAACATTCTTGTACTAGGTGGAACAGAACAAGAAAGTTGTTAACAAAATATCTCCATAAGGCATAATAGAAATGGGAGAGGTCATCCCATTTCTATTACACCTTATGCATTTCACTAGATTTCTTACTGCTTAATCCCAGCTTCTAGTGTGTACAGAGCCTGGAAAACTGCTTTTATAATAGCCTTCACTTCTGACTGGTACCTCAGAGGGGAGGCTGACTTCAGCATATCAGAAATGGGCAGAAGAAAAAATATTAATTTACAAGTTGTTGAATAAATAAGCACCCCTGTGGAGGCATCTGTTTTTCTGGGTGTAGAGTTACTTTGGCTGGGTAGGGCTAAGGATCTCCTGGCTTGCTTTAAGCTGGGTTGCAGAAACAAGGCTTTTGCAGGTCTGCTCTTACAGTTTCATTGAACAAAGCCCCTGCAAAATCCCTGGGTTATGAAATATTTCCTCTCTGTCGGGTCCCAGACAAGAGATGGCATCTGCAGAGCCAGAAAAGGAAGTCCTTGCCTTATAGAGAGAGCTCATGGTGTGACACAATGGCTGATATAAAGTGTCGGGGGAGCTGAGTTCAAGGCAAAGGAACAAAGGAAGATCAAGATTCGGCGGTTGTCTCAGGCAAAAGGAAATTGGAAAGTGTCTTTGGGATGGATAAATTTAAGGCTGCGCTTGTTCTGGCTGGGGTCGGGGATGCTCTCGGTTATCGCAATTTCTCCCGCGAAAACAATGCCTTCGGTGCAAAAATCCAGCAGGAGCTGAAGGAAATTGGAGGGCTTGAGAACCTGGTGCTCTCTCCCGACAAGTGGCCAGTAAGTGACAACACGCTCATGCACATGGCTACAGCTGAGGCTGTCATCACAGGTAGGTACGGCGGGAATAGCCAACAAGTCTGCAGAGGAACAGAGCTGTCGAGCTGCGTTTCTTAGAATAAGACTGATTGCTGGGGAAGTCATGAGAAAGCATGTCAGAAATGCTGTTTATGTGAATGATAATGTGCATTAGTTTGGCTGCTCCATGAGCACAGTCCTGTGACCATCTCACAAACTGGGGGGGGGGGGGGGGGGCTCTTCCTATATTTTCCTTAGAGATATACAGTTGGTTAAAGCTTAAAGACTACAATACCACATGTCCAGCATAACAAAAATAATTGCCAAGTAGATTATCTGTATGCTGAAATACATCAGGGAATATTATAGCCACTAGAGAGCCTTCTGTAACAGATAAGAACTCTTCTGAGTGCATTTTTTACATGCTTGTGTCCAGAACTCCAGGCTGGAGTAGAGTTACCTTTGTACCTCGTTCAGGCTAAAAGCACTAATGCTGTCTCCACCTTGTTTCCCC